CTTGCAGATTCTCTAGATTTCTGGTTAGAGTAATCTTTGTGATTCTATCTATTCAGTTTGCTAATCATTGTATTTCTGCATTGCCTTAACCCATAACTAATTGGTTTGCATCTCTTTACTGTTTTCTATTAAAACTTAAATTTCCATCTGCCTCTTTCTCTTCTATCTCTAATTAGTACCATATCAGTGGTTTAGGATATCTTACTGCTAAATTCTGTCCTCTATTATGTATTCCAAGAAAATAAAAAAATTAGGAACTTAGTATCATATTCTCCTTCTTGCAACCAGTGCACCCCTAGACATATGTTAAACTTGGGGTATCTCAACTGTAAATCCTTTCCACCGTAAGTGTACCAAAAAAGAATGCATAAAAGGTAATACTATATTATTGCACTTTCCAACGAGTGTGTTGATTGTGAGGGATTGAAAAGCCTAGTGGGTGGTGACTAAGCGGAAGCAAAAATGTGAGAATACTTGGAATAGAGAGAATATATGAATATGTTAATAATAATAATAGATTGTCTCTCTATGTTTCTTGAACGGTATAGAGTGTATAGAGATTCTATATTTATAGAAACATTGGGTTAAACCACTCTTACCTTGAATAGGAAATCAAGATTACTCCTAATAGGAATAGGACTAAGGCTTCCTATTATTCAACACTCCCCTCAAGCTGGAATATCTAGAAGTTCCACGCTTGAATTAAAACAAACACTCCACCTGACTCAAAATTACAAATGAAGATTAAATGCCGCTAGAGGATTATAGCGTTGAATGTTGTCGGAAGACATAGCACTATACACAACCCTTGGAAATGAAGTTGAAAGTATCAAGGATGGATTTGAACATGAACAAGCTCAAGGTAACAAAGTGACACAAACACTCTTGAACAAATGTATAAAAGCCTTCATCAAGAGAAGTAGAGGTGAAATGGAGCAGGAGCAATAAATTGGTACATATGGTCCATAGCAATGAAGATAGCGAAAGCGATAAAGAGAAGCTCCATAGCAATGGAAGAACAAAACATGCGTGGTTCATGGTAATACTCCCCTAGCCCCCATTTCTTGAAACTTTAGAAATAATAAATGGCCTTTGGACATAAAATATTATAGTGCCGATTGCCGAAATTAAACACCCTCAGGGAACAAATAAGGCACACTGAAAATGAAGAAGCAAATACGGTAATACCAAAATTGAACTCCCTCAGGAAAGAAACTTGACAACGGATCCAAAAATCCTTTAAATTTCATAAAAGACCAAAATTTAGCGAAAAAGGGACAATGGAACACCATTGGCGATTCTTAGAACAAGAACCTATGCAAGACAGTTGGAAAAGTTGATTTCACATATCTCACTATGAGAAAGAGTTTTGAAGCAACTAGGCCATCCAAGGAAAATTTTGGGAGGAGTCATCTCTTCAACGAAATCATCACCAAAATATAAGCACAAGAACTAAACACTTGAGGAAGCAAGCTTTAAACAAAGGAATGGTACCATTGTAATGTTTAGTTCATGCAAGAGTGAGGCATCTCCTAGTTTGACTGTACGTATAAAGAAGAAGGAAAAAGAAATAGCCAATGATGCAGACTTGCAGAGAAGTCATCTCTTCAACAAAATCATCACCAAAATATAAGCACAAGAACTAAACACTTGAGGAAGCAAGCTTTAAACAAAGGAATGGTACCATTGTAATGTTTTATATGAAGAGTCATATTTTTAAAGTTTAGGTTTCTTGTATATATACTCTGTTGTACCAACCGTTTGAATCTATCAAATCCAAGTATCTTTCTTCACATGGTAACAAACTAGGCTCCTTTCACCAACAAACCGTTCTTGTGCCGATGCATCTCTGGCTGTTGTTTGAAAAACTAACGCCACAATCTTACTCAGAAGTCAGGACGACGTCACCGTGAAGGGCTATCGCAACAAACTCAACTTTGCCTTAACCCGTATTGAATTGATTGCATTTCATTATGGTGCTATGATTATTAGGGTGTTGTCAATTTCAGTCCACAACTTTCAAAACTAGCAATTTAGTACCGTAACTATTTAATTTTTATCAATTTTAGTCAGTACGGCCAAATTGCTAGCCAATTATTGCCAATTTTTATCCACATCTCACCTGCCTCTATATTAATTCAAACAATGGTTTACAAATTATCTTTCATTTTAACACTGAATTAAAAGATTTCGGCGACAATTGGCCGACAATTTGACGGGGCTGACTAAAATTGATAAAAATTGAAAAGTTAGGGTATTAAATTGTTAGTTTTGAAAGTTGTGGACTCAAATTGACAACACCCCAATAGTCATATGACCAAAAGTGAAATTTACTCTTGAACTTTATTATAACTTACAATTTGCAGTGAAAAATTGGGATATAATTAGTACCATGGTAAACACTGTCCCCATGGCCCCATTAATGTACCCAAAAAAATAAAAAATTAAAAACTTAGTATCATGTTATCCTTCTTGCAACCAGTGATTCCTAGACATATGTTGAACTTGAGGTAACTCAACGGTAAATCCTATCCACCACAAGTGTACCCAAAATGGATGCATAAAAGATTATACCATATTATTGCACTTTCCGATGAGTGCAACCCTAGATGTGTGTTGACCTTATTGAAACAATATTAGTTGATTCTCTTTGTCCGCCTTGAGAAGGGTCACATTCTACTTTGTTTCAAAAAAAGTTGTTTTTAATATGATCATCTCTTACGTTCCAATATAGCAGAATTCTTTAAAAATTAGGCAAGTACCATTTCTTATGTATTTTATTGAATATATACTTATTAGTTATTACTCCAGAATATAAATTTTTATTTTCAAAATTCAATTTGTTAGTATAAAAACATAAGCTTTGTTAAATTGGCTGAGAGAATTGTAAAAGGGGCACAAATGGGATGGTGAGTAATTCATTTTGGATTATTAATAGAAAGAAAAAAAATGTCCGGAGACACATTTTGGAAATGAGAATTCTTAAAGCTTCATTTCCCTAATGTGTTTTTTGGAAGACTTTACTATATTCATCCTATCAAAATCCGCATTAGAGAATGCAGCTTTTAACCCAATTTTTAAACACTTCTGCTCAATTGCCTGAAACCTTTCTATATGAAGTCTTTACGGAGGCAATCATGTTTGTGACAGGTGAGGATTAGGGAGAATGTGTGATGCATTTCATAGGAGATAAGAAGTAAAGCTTTTCATCTAAATCCAACTTCCTTTATGACTATGGAAGAACTTGGCATTTATCAAGTGAACCTTTTTCACTGAAAATATAAGTTTTTTTTTTTTTTTTTCCCACAAGTCATATTTATGAAATGCAGTTTTCTTAAGATTACATTTCTAAGATGCGACATCTTTTAATTTTCTTAGCAACTACAAATGTTATATAGTACTATTATTTTGCTACTGAAAATTGGGTAATACATAATTAGTCTTCATTAAAATTTGCTTATTTTTGACATTTTGTATAAAGTAAATAAAATATGTATAATTTATGAACTTCCCAGTATAGCCATTTCATTGATATTTTGCATCTAACTATGACATTTTACCCTATTTGTTTTATATGTCATTACTCTCTTTTGGGCAAAATAACCAAATGTGTACACTTATGGTTTTTATTCATATTCAGGATTCTAAAAAGCTTCATACTATTAAAGATTACGGAAAAGAGTTGGTAGGGGCTAAAGTCAAAGTCTGGTGGCCCCGGGATAGAAGGTAAGTACTTAAGAAGGGCAAATTGAATGACTGTCTTAGTACCCATTGAAATAGAACGCTTCACTTGTTCCATTATTACCTATTGAGATGGAAAGCATCACTTGTTCCATTGATTACAACATTTGACAATTTCCCTCAGTTGTTAACAACTTGTGCTTTTGAACTTCAAATTCAATTTTATAAATTTGACACCTAAGGTTATAGGTCTGAAAGATGAATCCTTTTGAGATATCGCATTTACATTATTTGAATCCTATGGTAAATATATACAAATTGTTGCATTTAATTTGTAAACATGTAGCTTATGCACTTTTGATTTATTCTTTTAATATGTATTTTTAAAGTTTTGCTTTTTTAAGTCTAAGAAGCGCTGCCAAGGACCTTGTGGTCCAATGGCACCAAGTTGCTCCCTTATATGGGAGGTTGTGGGTTCAAGCCTCAGTGGAGGCGATATTGGCTCTTTGTGCTTCATTAGGTTGAAAAAGTAGCTATGAACAAAAAAAAAAAAAAAGAAGTCTAAGAAGCGCTATTAAGTTGTCTTGTAAATTATGCAAGCAATTCTTGTCATATTTTCTGTTCTTTTCTCTTTACAGGTTTTATGAGGGGGTGATTTCTTCTTTTAACCCTTAGACGGAAAAGCACAAGGTACATTAGCCCAACGGGCAGATATTTCTGTATTTTATGTGTTGCGTATAATTGCCCTTGGGATATACTATTTTCTATCTTCAAAAATAGGATTTTCCAAGATGAAAGGCAAATGCTCTTCCCTAACAATTTGCTTTTCTAGGATAGTGATATTTAGGCTGAGTTTGACGCATCTTGACTACTCATGCTCCATTATGTTGGCAATTATAAACCAACTCCCATTATTCTAATTTCTGCCCAATCCATTTCAAGATATTTCTCCTGTATTTGTTTGTCAATAACGCACTAATCTTTTTACTTAAGAGGCCAAATGTTGAACTACACAAAGCCAAGCCCAGGAGAGCAGGTTTTAAGTAGAGGGCATAGCCTTCTTGTACCTAGATTAACAAGAGCTAGGGAAAAGCCCCAAAGGTCTATAATTATAGTTTAAAGCCTTAAAGCACATTAAGAATGTGGTGGAATCATGTCTTTGTTTCCTCTATTTCAAGAGAGCAATCAGAGCATGCATTGATTTTTCGTCACATTCATGGAAAGATTTTAAACATCTGTATCATGATGTATTGGCTTTATCTCGTATCTTCCTTTAATTTTAATGTGCTAAGTTGCTTTCTGTTACTGTACTATTGTAGGTCATATACACTGATGATGATGTAGAAATCTTGAATCTCAGATGTGAGCGCTGGGAATTGCTTGAAGAGGTTCCAGTCAAAGAAGTGAGTTAAATTCCCATGTTGTACATTATCTAGTTAGCAAGCTATGATTTCTTGAAGAGGTTCCAGTCAAAGAAGTGAGTTAAATTCCCACATTGTATATTGTCTAGTTAGCAAGCTATGATTTTATTGGTTAGGTCAACTGCCTCTTTGTAAACATAACATGGATGCAATTTACAGGGGCTTGTAACTGACTGACTTTGCTTTCTGATGGAGTAAAGAGGAAGAGGAAGGGAGATGAGCACAAAATAAAAGGAAAGGACTGAATGCAATACAACAATACTATTTGGCAACTTCAGTTTTGAAAGTGAGACAGAATTGCAGGATGGGATAATGAATAGTAAGCATGTCAGATAATTGAATCAACTATTGTATCCTTGATGTTATGGTAATTGATAATTGAGTAATTCTAGGTATTCTTTCTAAAAGTTATCCTCCTAATTTTTCCTCTTGATGTGGCAACATTTAATTGAATTATTTAGTACTTAATTAAATTTGTGTAGAGTGAGTGGTTTGTATCATTGCAGCTGCCCATTAGTATTGTTCGCTCCAAAAGGCCAGAGGATTATGCAAATTTGAAATGCCAACTGAAGTCAACTCACATCATCTTTGGACTTTCCTTCCCAGTGAAAGTCCCCAGATTAAACATGTAGCTTATGCACTTTTGATTTATTCTTTTAATATGTATTTTTAAAGTTTTGCTTTTTTAAGTCTAAGAAGTGATATTAAGTTGTCTTGTAAATTATGCAAGCAATTCTTGTCATATTTTCTGTTCACTGTTCTTTTCTTTACAGGTTTAATGAGCGAGTGATTTCTTCTTTTGACCCTAACACGAAAAAGCATAAGGTGCATAACCCCAACGTGCAGATATTTCAGTAGTTTATGTGTTGCATAAAATTCCCTCTATTGCCCTCTGAATATCCTACTTTCTATCTTCTTAAACAGGATTTTCCAAGATGAAAGGCAAGGGCCATTCCCTAACAATTTGCTTTTCAAGAATACTGATATTTAGGCTGACTTTGACCCATGTTGACTACTCTCATGCTCCATTATGTTGGCAATTATAAACCCAGTATCTAAGGGAGTTTTGGGTTTCAAGCAAACCCAATGTTTTCTTCTTTTCCTTTTCCAACTATTATTCTTTGTCCATTTATCCTTATGTTGTCTTGTCCGTGACGGGAGAACATAACATCTTGTATATTTGAAATTATGAATTTATCTGCACCCGTTCTACCCTATAATAATACAAAAATAGAAGTATTTAATACTTTATTTGTTCAAAACTTAGGCCAGGTTGCAAACAATTTCAGTATTTATTTATTTATTTATTTATTCTATCTACCTGAGCATTCTAACATATATCATATATGTGCATCTATGTTGAAAAAGTATTGTCTTTTGGTGCTCAGGTCATTTTCCATCATATTATAGCATTGCTTGAAAAGTTATATTACATTGATAGTAACTGCTATAGTAAAGCTCCGAGAGTTATTTAAGCCGTTGCGAAGTGCAGGTTGTGTGTGATGGCGTGATGCTATTGGATTTTTACTGGGTTAGCTGTTAACGTTTTCCAACTATTCCTCAAAATCATCAGGTATCTCTCCACGGGAAACCTTTAATTGTAATATATATTGCATAATAATTGTTTGTTCTTATTGTTGTTTCAACGTTGGCCATATTAGCTCTTGGTAAGGGTTATATATGCACATAAGCTTTTACGTAATATGACACATTGTTGTCCAACTATGATTTTCTTCAGATTTTATACTGATCTTTTAAAACACTTTTTATTACTTGTAGTTAACTTTTTTAATGTAATATAGAGCGGTAGCTACACAGTTGTTCGTATTATATACTCCGTAGCATATAATTTTGATATTTTCACCAAGTCAGTTTCATTCCTTGGATACTTACAGACTAATAGAATATTCTGCTACATTGTACATTTGTGCTCATCAGTATAGAATTGGCCCTTCACTTTTGATTAAGCCTCAAACATACTAATGCGGTATTAAGATACATGGTAGACATCATGTCTCAGCTCATTGAAGAAAGAGATGAGGTCTTACTAGATTTTTAAGTGTCCATTCTTGATAGCCTCACCTGAAAATCTAGTGAAGACTTCATCTCTTTCTTTTATGAGCTGAGACATGATGTCTTCCATGTATCTTAATACAACATTTGTATGTTTGGGGCTTGATCAAAAGTAAAGTGTTAATTCTATTGACTCATTAAAGAGTAAAAATGTACACTTGGTAAAAATATCAAAAGATCACCAAAATTATATGCTATATAAACAAGTATATGAAACCTATATGTTTAGCATACTTGCCTCATTAACAACTAGAAAAAATTGTGTAGCAACCACTCTAGATTACATCAGAAAATTTAATTACAAGTAATAAATGTTTTGAATGATCAGTATAAAATGTGAAGAAAACTATAGTTGGACAACAATGTGTCATATTACATAAAAGCTTATGTGCATATATAACGCTTACCAGGAGCTAATATGGCCAACATTGAAACAAACACTATATATATATATATATATATATATATATATATATATATATATATATATATATATATATATATATATATATGAGAACATGTGTTTAGGTGAGAACATATCATGTGCATCCATCTAATATTTTTTAATGGTCTAGATTAGATTAAGTGTGTGTGATGAACAAATCCATCTAATATTTTTTAATGGTCTAGATTAGATTAAGTGTGTGTGATGAACAATTTTAAATAGTCCTCGCAAGTGCACCGAGTCATTGTAGAGATAGTGTGCTTTAGCAAGGATCGATCCCACGGGAAATTGATACAAAGCAATTTAACAGCTTGAAATTAAATTAACTTAACAATTTTAAAGTGTTCAAATAACGATCAAATTAAATACAAAATGATTGAATCACAACTCAAGAAAGTAACAACGGATTGCAATACAAAATTATGGGATAAAGGATAAAACATACGGATTAGTTGATGAAATTAAAGGAAATATGTAGGGGAATAAAGGAGGGAAGAAAGCTAATCACAAAGAGAAAATGAGACTTGCAGCAAGGAATTATAAAGTCTTAATCTTTAACATTCTGGAATGCCTCACAAAAGTAATAAAGCCAAATGAAATTCACGACTGCAACAAGCATAGAATAAAGAATAATAAGATGAGAGGTAGCACTCTGAATTGTAGACTATTGCAATTTTGCCGCTGTTGAGAAACCTGCTATGCCGGAATTAATTGGCTGCGCCTAAAATTCTGCCGACATCGGGATTCTCCATAGCCGCCACCGGAACCTGCGAACGCCTCCGGAATTGCTCCGGGGTGAATTGATATCAAGCCTCCTTCCATTGCCCTCTATTTATATTGCCTCAGACTCAACCTCTGTTCCGCACTTCCGCTACTCATTCGGATCGCCGGAGAAATTGATATGCGAAATATGATTCTGCGCCTTTTATCTCGTAGGAATTTGACTAGCTAACAAAATCTATTAAATAATAATAATAATAATAATAATAATAATAATAATAATAAACTTATTAAATTGGGTTAGGAAATTATTGGACTAACAAATTTATTAACAAAATCAACTTAATAACAAAAACAACTCTAAAAATTAACAATATTTATGAAAACTACTTATAGCAATAATAAATAAAATTAGATATAAAATTAATTAACTTTTGCAAATTAATTATAAAAAGATTATTAAAAACTACAATAAAAATAATGTTTATCAGTGTACGAATGCGCATTAAATGTGTGCAAACGCGATTTAGTGTGTTTGCACACAATTTGAATTAATTTGGTCTAATCCACTTTTTCAAACTAGTCTAAACGGATTAAGGCTCTCAATTCAATAGATTATTAATATTATTTTATAGCGAAAATGATTATTTTAGTCTCAATTAGGGGAGGGAAATTAAAATACTTTAATAATTATATATGGATAAAAGTCATAAAACAAATTAGTTTAAATTTTAAATTAAACAGGTCAAATTCGAGATCAAAATTGAGCTCAAATTCGAGCCTGAAGTCGAGCTCGAGTTCAGGCTCGAATTCGAGCTCGAGCTCGAGCAGCTCGACAATTGCCGAGCTCGAGCTCGAGCATCAGTTCACGAGCTCGAGCAGTGGTATCATTAATGAGCACGAGCATGAGCCTACCCAGGCTCGGGCTCGGCTCGACTCGTTTACACCCCTACTCTTAATTGTAATATAATAGACAACTCAGTTACATAATTATATTTGTAGTGCTATTTAATTATTGAATTGTCCATTTGGAGGCCCTTGTACACATGATTGAGCTTTTTTTTTTTTTTTTTGTAAATTTACCAATTAGACTTACTACAAATTTCCTCAACACAATTTTCTTTTTTTTTTTTTCTTTTTTCAATTTCAAGTTTTAACATGTCAAAAGTCATTGGCAAGTTTGTTAAGCATGATGATCGATTTGTTGGGGCTCCATGGTTAACTTTTTATCATATTCAGGTCTCGATTGCGGTAGACAAGCCATTGAGGAGGGGTATGAAGCTACTTAAAAGAGACAAAACTACATGTTGGGTTTCTTTTAAATATGAATGACTCCACAAATTTTGTTTCTTTTGTGGACTCATGGGGCATGTCCATACTTTTTGCTTGAAGGCCCGGGAAAGTCGAGTGCCGGCGGACAATTTCCCGTATGGAGCTGAGTTGAGGGCGGGGGGTAGTCGGGGTGCTGCAAGAGGGGTGGGCGAGAGTTGGCTTATACCGGTTGGGGGGAGACCGTTGCCGATGCCGGTGTCTGAGCCGGAAGGTGACGAGGGTGTTGGAGGGAAGATGGCGGAATGCCGTAGGGGTGGTAGGGGTTCGGGTAGTGTCACGCCGGGGGGTGGTGTTGTGGTGGCAACCGGGAAGCGCCGCAGGCAGGGGCAACAAGAGTGTGTTGAATCGGAGGATGGGGATGTGGCAATGAACGATGTTTCAAAAAACTTGTGTATGGCGGGAGCTGCTGTTCAGCCCCGCCCGTCCTCATGAGTACGCTGAGTTGGAACTGTCGTGGCTTGGGCAATCCACGAACAGTTCGACAGGTGGTGGACATTGTGTCCCGTAAGAAGCCTGAGTTTGTATTTCTAATGGAGACTATGGTGGTACGGATACATGCAGAAAGGCTCCGTGTCACACTTGGATATGAGGGGTTGTTTTATGTGGATAATGACGGGTTGAGTGGTGGTATGGCTCTGTTTTGGAGGAAGAATAATTCGGCATCATTGTTGAGTTATTCTACGAATCATGTAGATGTGGAGGTAAGGGCTCAGAACGGGAAACAATGGCGAATGACTTGCTTTTATGGACATTCTGATCGTGGTAGGATATGAGAGTCCTGGGATTTGTTACAGAGTTTAAAGGCTAGATCCTTGTTGCCCTGGGTG